ACGCCAGAAAGGCTCGATTATTTGATGATTTTTTTATTCACAAAAATGGCCACCATTCGTCCATTTTGAATAGGATCGTCAAATCAATATATCTGTCTACCTATGATATGATGTATAATGAATATTTAAAATTTGAACATAATCAGTGAAAGAAAGTCAGACATATGGCACAAGAACCACATTCATTGAAACAAAATGGCCGCCATTTTGAATCTAATCTGAAAAACAAAATTATTTGCATCAAGGTCCCATAATGTTTAATGTATATACCAAGTTTGAACAAAATCCCTCTGTAAACAGTCAAAAAATGCTTGACTTTGATGATTTTTTGCACAAAAATGGCCACCATTCGGCCATCTTGAATCAGATCGTGAAACAAATTGACGCTGACAAATTGGCTGATTAAGTTTAAAAAACATTAGACCTACCAGCAATGAAGATCAGCATTGAATGTATAAGTTCTACCGGTAGATAATGTAATTATTGGAGATCCCTGATCTGTTAGAAGTGTTCTGGAGATTGTCACATCTTTACCTGACAACACAAAGTATAACATATTTAAATAAAAACTCAAATTGATGTGAACTTTTTTACATGACAAAATTGCAGATGCATGATGGGTATTAACGTGATAACCCATTTGACATTTGTAGGTAAGGATTGATGACTGTCAACTGTAAGCTTCAGGAATGTCTGGCAAATTTCACTATTTTTTTCAGTTTACAGTAATAATAATAATAATTATCCATCTTTGATTTGCATATAATTACTTGAAACTGCCCAGAAATACTAGACACAAAATTGTGTCAGTACAATCTATACATGTATCATATTTGTTTTGAGGACGGGACGATTGCTGACTTCTAAACATCACCCAGGGCAGAGCGATCATTAGATGCATTTTTTTATCACTCTTTCAATCCATTATCGTCATGACAGGGGTCACGGTCCAAGCTTAAACACTTTTTCAAGATAATAATATAGTTTGTATATCCATCACAATGATGCCCATTGACACTATGTTCGTTGCATTGATGGTGGTCACTTTGTCAGTAATATAACACTTTAACCATCAGTTCATGCGGTGGAGATAAAATGCCATATATTAAAATGTAGACTGGGTATATCATGATTGACTGGGTATTTTTTGTTATCCTGAATTATTTCAAAAATCTAAGATTTAAAAATTGATGAATTTTCTTCATCATCGTCTTCTATAGTAGTTTCTCAAAATATGGTATTACAGTACACAAAAGAATGCTGTTTCATGTTACCACGGAACTATAACTCGATGGTTATACATAATAAACAAAATGTATGAACATGTTATGTAATTTGAGACCAACTATCTTCAAAATTATGTGTAGACATCTACCTTAACTTTTCACCAACAATTCCCTCTTTTCATCATACATATTCACAGAATAGTCTTGTAATTTGCACTTTCCTTCAGGAGAATTGAGACAAAAATATCCAAATGTTTGGAGTAAAACCAAAAATTGACTAAAATTTTGTCTGTTAGAGGGTTCCATTCAAGAAATATTGACAAAAATAAAAAAAAAAAAAAGTTCAGAAAAATTTCGTCAAATTTCGGTGTAATAGATAAAATCTCCTTACTTGGCATGACAGATCCCAGATTTTCATTTCGTATCACTGCTTGACATTTCTTAACATTCCATACATGCAAATTTCCTGCTGAACTAATTATCATAACAAAATGTCCGCTACAATGTAGCACACTAACAGTGGAAGATAGAATAATGCCCGGAAGAAGACGCCGTCCATTCGGTGAAATTATATACAAACTTTTATCTTCACAGGCAATGCATACAAAATTGCTGTTGAGTTGAAAAAAAAAATGTTGGGGTTGTAGCTATCTCAATAATATGAACAGTTTTTTGTTTGTAGATTGTTATTACTGTAGAAATTAGTAGAATATTGTATTACATAAAATCTCAGTTACGAGTTCTAAACAAACTAATGCTGCAAAGAAAATAAGATTGGATACCTGTTACCAGCCATTGCTAAGCCTCTACTTGTGAGAACAGCCTCCCACGTCACCTGCTCCCCTTTCACACACTTGACTCTTTGTATAGTCATACCTATTAAAACAAAATAATTTTAATGTAACTTGTCCTCAGTCAGTGGTATACCAGTCTGTAACTATCTTGGATTGATAATGGTATAACCCAGTCTGTAACTACCTATCATTGATAATGGTATAACCCAGTCTGTAACTACCTCTCATTGATAATGGTATAACCCAGTCTGTAACTACCTTGTATTGATAATGGTATAACCCAGTCTGTAACTACCTCTCATTGATAATGGTATAACCCAGTCTGCAACTACCTTGTATTGATGATGGTATAACTCAGTCTGTAACTACCTGGCATTGATAATGGTATAACCCAGTCTGTAACTACCTCATATTGATGATGGTATAACCCAGTCTGTAACTACCTGGCATTGATAATGGTATAACCCAGTCTGTAACTACCTCTCATTGATAATGGTATAACCCAGTCTGTAACTACCTCATATTGATAATGGTATAACCCAGTCTGTAACTACCTCTCATTGATAATGGTAAAACCTAAAAAGATTTAATTTTATTTTAACTGTCATCAACAGTTCAGTTAACATCCAATCTAGAACTTACCTGCAATGTTGATATTATTTTCCAATTCTATATTCATAACAGGATCAGTACTTGCTCTTCCAAGTATCTAAAATAATTGTCCATTAAATAAGATTATTGATAACAGTAATTACACTTAATTACATTTTAATTCGTAGATTTTCTAGTGAAACAATAATTTTGTTGTGTTTGTTGTAATGTTTACTTGGACTCAATTCAGAAGATTTGACTTATCAGTGAAAATAAAGAAATTAAAATCCAGTAAATAATTATATAATATTTCCTGATATTTTTCTTCATTCAGCTTAGGAAAATATGAGTGACATAAGAGCTGTATCACTACAAGGAAAATATGATACGACACTTACACCACAAGTATTTTTCCAGCTGAAACAGAAAAATATTAGGGTATCGTCAATGAACTCTGAATTTTTTTTTCTGACTTTCTTTGGAATTTGTTTTGAAGAATACTAATATACATGTATTCATGCGCTGAACATGCTCTCTGCCCTAAAGGCTGACGATCGGCATCACAATATATGTGATATTCGACCATTCTGTGTAAATAAATGCCATAGAGAGATTTTTTGTGGATGTTAATGGTATTCAGAACATTGTATAGATTTTCGTTTCAAGAATATTTTTGTGGAATCCATCTATTTACAAAATGTACAATGATTTCGTTTGTCTGTTTTGATGGCATGGATGTGGAAAAAATCTATTGTTTACTTAATATGAGGGAGCTCGATGCGATGGTGTACTGTCTGAGTGCATACTTTGAGGTATGCTCATAATAACTTATTATTATACATCTATTCCTAAGGATACATCATGGGAATGCCAAAATCAAGAAAGTTTAGAACAGATTTAGAAAACTTTTTGTGTGGAGTCCGGTCAAAACCTGGGGACTGCCATGTTTGTTTTTATTATAAGAGGATGCTTACGCACGGAATCGCTCCATATTTGGAATTTGCATTTCCTAATATGGTAGAATGAAAACACCCTGTAAAATACTGCAAAATTACGGCACGCTGTAACTTATGGCGTTACGGTGACAGATGTGAACTATGTTTATTCAGGGAACTATGTAAATAGTTCATTTGGAAACAAGTTTTAATGTTTAACAATTGATATCACATCACTACGTAAAGTGATGTCCATATAAAGAATATTTTACCTACTTGGATAAAAATAGAAATGTGTCCAACAGGGCCCCTTAGGTATGTCCAACAGGGCCCCTTAGGTAAGTCAAACAACCCCTCAAGCCACAGCTCCATAAATGAAAGCTAGAGAGCATTCACTAATTGTATCCCCTCAAATTTTGTATTAGTAGATATAACCAAGTATTATATTTTTAACCCAGATATTTTAGCTCTTGTAAGATGACATTATGACGTTGTCGCTTGACAACAGTACTTAATAAAGTTAAACATGATGCTTACCTGAAGTGAAAGTTTCTTCTGTGGTTGTGGTGTTGGCAGTTGTAATGATGATGTGACATAGACAGCATGCCTAGAACTGTCCCTATCTGGTGTTGTCTTAAAAATAAATGATATATCAGTTAAATATACAATATAGTCTGAAAATAGTTGTCAATTTCTATGTGTCATATTTCTTACTATAGGACATAATAGTATGCTGGTTTGTTTTGCTTATCAGATGTACAGAACATGTGCATGACAGATCCGAGTCTATGGTCAAAATATTTTTATGATCCAGCATACAACTAATGCAATTTTTGGCTTATGTGCATTTCAATTGAAGATTCACTTATGATATAGAAAAACCCTTTTATCAAACATACCTTTGTTACATACATCATGTCTTGGCATTTAGTACTCGTTCGCCTTAACGCCCATGCTAGACTAAGCCCCCCACCCCAACCTTTGGGACATGTCTATTTTTGAGGTCAGGTACCATACATTCCAGTCATGAAATCTGGTCTTCATTGATTGCCAATACTAGTAATCAAATTTATACTATATGGGTAATGACTGCTGTGAATATGATGTGTATATGTTGTGAATATGTAAATTATGCGTTCACAGTGACCTGTCAACAACCGTGAAGGACATTGAATACCTCCACTCACATTAAGTTTACATTTCAAAAATTTCTCATTACTAGTTTTATAAAAAATCATGCCATTATCTCGCCAAAATCATTTCTAACTTCAACATCTCTAATTCACTTTCACATTGCCGTACCAAATACTGACCTGACATGTCAGGTCAGAGGACATTGTTGCAGGTCAAGTCGAGCAGTAAAAAACATCATGGCGGAAACTGTTTTGCATCAAGAGTTGGCATACGATCAAACACACTCAACAACAAGACTGTTTTCCCACAGACCCACAAGAATTTTTTCATCATAAATTCTGATGGTACGTAAGGGCTACCATCAGGTAATTTGTAGTTAACAATGTCTGGATGTCATATGGTTACACTTAATTTCACTTTATGTATGGAAGGTAATAACTTACAGGTATTGTTGATGAGCCAGCTACTGCTGCTGCTTTGACCACAGCGTCTTTTCTCGGTCTCTTGATACCCACTGTTGTTGTGTCTGATTTCCGTTTTACAGATATCGACGAAGATAATGTCGTACTAGATGATTTAGGTTCTCTTGATTTGGGCGTTTCTTTCAATCTGGAGAATAAATATATTTACCATAAAATATCACATTGTCTTTAGACGAAGACATGAAAATGTTTAGAGTATTTAGAAAACAATAGCATGAACCACACGTTGCAAGGTAGCCTCAGAATCAAGCCTTCATTTACTATGCATTCACATGCTTTGTAAACTCAAACATGTTTGACTTACTTCTCTTTTTCTTTTTCCTTATCTGGTGTTTTTTCTTTTACTTTATCCTTCTCCTTATCTTTGTGAATAATCTTGTTTGTTTTAGCTTTGCCCGTCAGTCTGCAGTCAAGTGCAGAGATCGGCTGTGTACAAGAATTGAGAAACAGAGATTCAATGTATGACACATACTGATATATTATTGCAACAATCTGCAGTTGTGAATAACTGAACTATGGATAAAAACCATTCAATGCAGTTTTGAATTGCCGTAGTGAGTTTGGAATTAGTAGTTGGGTGCCATGTGAGACAGTGTGAGATTTGTGTGATGAATGAAAAAGATCATGAGTACAGGTTGGACAGTATGTGAATAATAGAGAAGATGAGTAAATGTGAGCAGTATGTGAGTAATAGAGAAGATGAGTAAATGTGAGCAGTATGTGAATAATAGAGAAGATGAGTAAATGTGAGCATGATGTGAGTAATAGAGAAGATGGGTACATGTAAATGTGAGCAGTATGTGAGTAATAGAGAAGATGGGTACATGTAAATGTGAGCAGTATGTGAGTAATAGAGAAGACGAGTAAATGTGAGCAGTATGTGAGTAATAGAGAAGATGAGTAAATGTGAGCATGATGTGAGTAATAGAGAAGATGGGTACATGTAAATGTGAGCAGTATGTGAGTAATAGAGAAGATGA